TCTATTTGTTTATGAATGTTATTGTTGATACAATAATAAATAGAAATAAATAAACAAAGAGTTAAGAAATTAATGAGTAAAATCAAAATGTAGATTTAGTTTATTAGAAATATAAATCATGAATCTAATAGTTTATCTTGTATGTTTTCAAAAAAGTATATTATCAAAATTGAATAATTAATTGATAAGTATTTTATTAATAATTCATACACTTTCTTATAATAATAAATATTTTGTATCAAATAGAATAAACATATTTATAACATGTGTCTTTCTGTCATTTTTATCAATTCATTTGAAGAAAACTTCAAAGAATAATTATTATATTAATTTTTAATGTTTATTTGTATTTTATTAAAAATAAAATAGAAAAAAAATAATTAAAGAAAATAACGTTATAAATAACAAAAGAACACGTGGAAATGAGAAAGCAATGAGTGGATAGAATGAAAGATTTGCATAAACAATAAACCACGTGAACATGATACAAAAGGAGAGAATGATATATAAAGGAAGTCAGAACTAAAGAAGTCATTAAATGAGTAAATATACAGGAATAGGTATTGGAATAGATTTAGGTACAACATATTCATGTGTTGGTATTTGGGAAAATGATCGAGTAGAAATTATAGCAAATGATCAAGGAAATAGAACAACACCATCATATGTTGCATTTACTGATACAGAAAGACTTATTGGAGATGCAGCAAAGAATCAAATTGGAATGAATGTTAAGAATACAGTATTTGATGCGAAAAGAATGATAGGAAGAAGATTTAGTGAACCAAGTATTCAAAAAGATATGAAACATTGGTCATTTAAAGTAGTTGATGATGGACATGATAAACCAATAATTGAAGTAGAATATAAAGGAGAAATTAAAAGATTTACACCAGAAGAAATATCATCAATGGTATTAACTAAAATGAAAGAAACAGCAGAAACATTTATTGGAAAAGAAGTAAAGATGCAGTTATTACATGTCCAGCATATTTTAATGATTCACAAAGACAGCTACTAAAGAT